CTTGATGCCATCTAACAACAACAACAACAACCAGCTCCTGGTATTGCGCTGTAGGATAAACAGTCGACTGAAAGGCTGGTTTGAGCTGCAAGGTTGGCGGTTCAAACTTACCAGCTACTCCTTGGAAACCCTGTACAGGGTCGCTGTGGGTCAGAACCCACTCCCCAGCAGTTAACAACAATCATTCTATACTGTTAGACTACTTACATTCTACTAGTGCTTTAAACTAGCCTGCTATGGCATGCAGTAGAAAGTAGTGATTAATAAGAGTACGGGCTCCAGAGTAAACTTTCTGAGTTTAATTTGTGGCTCTGCTGCTTTATAGGAGTGACATTTAAAGCAAATTGCCCTCTTTGTACCTCAGTTTCCTTATCTAGAAAATGGCAATAACATATACCTCATATATTGAGAGGAGCAAATTATTGGTATGTATGTTGTTGTTGAGTCCTGCTGTGGCGCTGTGGGTTAATGTGCCAGACTGCAAAGCTGTTTGAACTGCAAGTTTGGTGCTTGTAGCTCACTAACTGCTTTTTGGAAACCATGTACAGGGTCGCTATGGGTCGGAACCGACTCGTAGTAGTCATAGCAACTAGCAACCCTGTATAGAGTTTTCAAAAAGCAGCTGTTGAGTTTGAATTGCCAACCTTTTGCGATTAGCAGTCCATTTCTTATCCTACATAGCCACACCATGACTCGCATTGATATGTATAAAACAACATTTTTCACCCTTACCACTTTGGACATTTGTTGTTGTAAAGTACCATCGAGTCGATTTTTACCCATAATGACCCTGTATAGGGTTTCCAAGGAGTAGCTGGTGAGCTTGAACCACCGACCTTGCAATTCAAACAACTTTGCAGTCTGACTCATTAGCCTACAATGCCACACCAGGACTCCTTGGACCTTTGTTGTTGTTGTTGTTAAGTGCCATTTAGTCTACTCCAACCCTTAGCGACCCTGTAATATGGTTTCCGAGGAGCAGCTGGTAAGCTTGAACTGCCAACCTTGCAGTTCAAACAGCTTTGCAGTCTGGCGCATTAACCCACAGCGCCACACCAGACCTTTGGGACTACATAATTCTTTACTGTGGGAGTTTGCCTGAGCATTGTAGGATGGTTAATAGGAAGACAAAATTGTCCCCTTTGAGAACTGCTGAAATAAAATGTGTAGAGAAGTGATTGGTCTATTTTATTGTTGTTAGGTGCTGTTAATATGGTTCCGCTTATAGCTGTCCTGTGTACAAAAGCATTTCCTGCACCATCTTCATAATTATTACGTTTGAGTTCATTGTTGCTGCCACTATGTTAATCCATCTCATTGTGGGTCTTCCTTTTTTTCTCTGACCCTCCACTTTTCCAAGCATTATTTCCTTCTCTAGGGACTAATTCATCTTGACTGTGCCCAAAGAACAAGAGACAAAGTCTCGATGCACTCCCTTCTAAGGAGCATTCTGACTGCACTTCTTCATGGATAGATTTCATTATTCTTCTGACTAACCACAGAGCTTTCAGTATTCTTTGCCAACACCATAATTCACATGCATTAGGAGGCTGTTGAAAGTACCATGTCTTGGGTCATCTTTGCTTTCCCATACTTTAAAGGTATTTTGCAGCAGATTTGTTTAATGCATTATATTGTTTGCTTTCTTGTCTGTGACTTCCATGAGTATTGATTGTGGAACCAAGTAAAATTAAGTCTTTGACAACTTCTGTCTTTTCTCCATTTATCATGATGGTATTTATTGGTCCAGTTGTGAGGATTTTTGTTTTCTTTACATTGAGATGCGGTCCACACTGAAAGCTGTAGTCTTTGATATTCATCAATAAATGTTTCAAATACTCTTCGCTTTCTGCAGCCAAGATTGTGCCTTCTACCTATTGCAGTTTGCTAAAGAGTCTTCTTCCAATTATGATACCACATTCTTTTTTTTTATAATCCAATTTGGATTATTTGTCCAGCATACAGATTGAACCAGGATGATGAAAATACAACTCTGGCACACACCTTTCCTGATTTTAAATCATTTAATTTTCCCTTGTTCTGTTTGAATAACTGCCTCTTGATCTATGTACAAATTCCTCATTAGCACAATGAAGTGTTGGGGAATACTCATTTTTCGCAATTGTATCCATAGTTTGTTATGATCCACACAGTTAAATACATCTGCATAGTCAATAAAGTACAAGTAAACATCTTTCTGGTATTATCTGCTTTTACCAAGATCCATCTGATGTCAGCAATGATATCCCTGATTCAATGTCCTCTTGTGAATCCTGCTTGAATCTCTGGCAGCTCCTTATTTATGTACAACTGTTTAATTAATTATCTTCAGAAAAAATTTAATTACATGCAATATAAATGATACTGTTCCATGATTTTCCCATTCGATTGGATTACCTCTCTGGAATGGGCACAAGTATGGATGTTTTCCAACCAGTTGGCCAGGTAGCTGCCTTCCAGATTTCTTGGCCTTGTCCACTGAGTGCTGCCAATGCTACATCAGTTTGTTGAAAGATTTCAGTTTGTATTCTTTCCATTCCTGGAGACTTGCTTTCTACCAATGTCTTCATTGCATCTTGGATATTTTCCTTCAGTACCATCAGTTCTTGAACATATGCTACTGCTTGATATGACTGAGCATCAACCAGTTCTTTTTGATACAGTGACTGCGTAGTCCTTCCTTCTTTTGATGCTTCCTGTGTCATTCAATATTTTGTCCATAGAATCCTTGAGTACTGCAGCCCAAACTTGAATTTTTTTCTTTGAGAAATGCTGAGCATGCTCTTCCCTTTTGGTTTTGTAACTCCAAGCCTTGACACATTTATAGAATGCTTGACTTTTGTCTTCTTGAGCTGCACTTTGAAATTTTTTGTTCAGCTCTTTTGCTTCCTCATTTTTTTCCAGTTGGCGTTAGCTTCTCTATGTTTGAGAACTTGCTCAAGAGCATGTTTCAGAGTCTCTCCTGCCATCCAGTTTGGTCTTTTCTTCTAAGGATCTCTTTCTTTCTTCATGTATGATGATGTTTTTGATGTCATTCTACAACTCTTCTGGTTTTCAGTCATTAGTATGTAATGCATCGGATCTGTTCTGGAGGTGCCTCTAAATTCAGGTGAAATACATTCAAGCTAATATATCTGATTTTCTTCAGCTTCTGAATGAACTTGCATATGAGCAGTTGATTGTCTCTATACTTGGCCCCTGCCCTTATTTTGGCAGTTGAAACTTCTCCATTGTTCCTTCCCACAGATTTAGTCACTAGATTCCATCTGGTGAGGTCCATGTATAGTTGCTGTTTATGTTGTTGAAAAGTAGTATTTGTATTGAATAAGTTGTCTTGTAAAATTCTATTCAGCATTGTTTCTATCACCAAGATTGTATTTTCCAACTACTAATCCTTGTATTTGTTTCCAACTTGTGCATTCCAATCACCAGTAATTATCATTGCATTTTATTTGCATGATTGGTCAATTTCTGGCTGAAGATACTGATAAAATTTTTCAATTTCATCATCACTGGCTTTAGTGGTAAATATGAATAACTGGTCTTACTCTTGGTGTGGCGCCGTAGGATCAACACTGGACAGCTAACCACATGGTTGGTGGTTCAACCCCATCAACTGCTCTTTGGGAGCCCTGTACAGAGTTTCTATAGTCTGAACCAACTCAACTGCACTGAACAACAACATACTATGCTGTCCTTACCCTTCGTGGCATCCATTAACATTAAAATTCATCATTTGCACAGTTTTTGATTTAATTTGCCCCTTCTCTGTCAGTCTAGCATCTTCATAAGGTACAGACCCTGGTCGTCTTACTTATGTTTGAGTCACCAGTTCCTGATACAGGCTGACCATAAATGTTCAGTATTTATTTAAAAAAAAAAAGTTCAGTATTTTTCATTGAAGAAATTCTGTAGTAAAGTTTTACACATAATTTGTGCTTTATTTAAATCTTATTGAATATGACCACATTGAGCACAGATGATTTCTGGTATAGCATAAAATTATTGACATCTTAGAGTTGGCACTGTAGGATAAGCACTGGATTGCTAATCACCAGGTTGGTGGTTCAAACCTACCATCTGCTTCTCAGAAACCCTGTACAGGTCTTTATGATTTGGAGCCAACTTAATGACACTGAACAACCACAACAGGAACTGAAGAATTGAAGTGAATGTATATATTTGTTGTCTTCTTAATGGCTGCAAGACTCCTTAGTTGCCTAGTTATTTAACATTATTTCCTTGACACCCCCTCCCATCAGAAAAATACTTAAACTAACTATTAAATGTCTTTTCTGTATTCTTCCCTGGCATTCTATACTTGACATTTTTCAGTTTTCACCACATTATTACCTTAGCTATGCAAGCCATCACTTATCTTCATTGCTCTGAGGTATAAACTTCAAATGAACTGGGATTATGACTTGTCACTGTTGTATGTACTGTGTGCGTACATACTGGGATTATGACTTGTCACTAATGTATGTACTGTGTGCATACATACTGAGATTATGACTTGTCACTGTTGTAGGTACTGTGTGCATACATACTGGGGTTATTACTTGTCACTGTTGCATGTACTGTGTAGCACAGCATCAGAATGAAAGTCAAGCTGTTTGAAACTCACTAACTGACCTTAGCAGATACAGTGTAAGCAGTTTACTGTAATATTGAGAATTAAAAATTTTTAAATAAGCTTCCTATTTATGGTTAGACACATTTTAGTTTGGAGCTAAATCTCCATTTTCATTACTATCCAGTGTTATCTGTGAACGTGATTACAAGTATAGCATCACATTTATTTTACAAGACAAGAAAGTTATTGTCTTTTTTGTTCGTATTTTTAAACATTTATAAGTAATCAAAACTTACATCCTAATTGTGTAAAAAGTTTTACAAGATGATTGTAACCTATTACTCAAGAAACCACACAGTGGCACTGCTGGGTCATGTTTGATTTTTTTTTTTAATTTTTAATAAAATTCCCTTTTCTTTTTTAGCTATTATTCATGGATTGTCCAGTCTAACAGCTTACCAATTGAGAACTATATACATATGTCAGTTTTTGACAAGAATTGCAGCAGGAAAAGCCCTTGGTAATGTTTTTATCTTATATTTCAATCTATGTTTAAAACCATGTGTGTGTGTGTGTGTGTGTGTGTGTGCATTTCTAAAGGAAATAAAAGAATTATAGTCCTTGTCTTCTGAGAAGTGGTTCTCAGATTCTAGCCAACATCAGAATTACTTAGAGGACTTATTAAAATACAAGAGTGCTGGGTATCATTCCCAGTGTTTCTGGTTCCATAGGATGGATGTGGAGCTCTGAAATTTAATTTTCCTGTAAGTTAATTTTAATGTTGCTGTTGGAGAATCCACTTAGTGAATCACTGTCTTAAATATATCAATTTAAATTTGAGTATATTTTAACTTTGTGGTGACTTACTATCATTTTTTTTACTGATAACTGTGATACTGGAAACCTCTTATTTGAACTTAATGTCAGAGAATGTGATTTGTATCTGTATTTCTCTCCTGTCCTTGTAATTCATTTTCGATTATAAGACGTAAGCTGGCTTAATTTACTATACATGGCAAATTAATGTATAGCAAATTACTAATGTAATTAGTATAGCAAAGTACTAATGGTTGATGAAGGAGTCCTGATAGACAGTGATTAAACACTCAGCTGCTAACTGGAAGGTCAGCAGTTTGAACCCACCAGCTGCTATTTGGGGAAAAAAACCTAGCGATCTGTTTCCGTAAATATTTACAGCCTAAAAATCCCTATGGATTCATTCTAATCTGCCTTGTATCTTGTATGGTTGCTCTAAGTTGGGATAGACTTGATGGAACGTAAGATGATTACAACATTACATCAAGGCCCTTTAACCACTAGATGCAAATAACTATATTTTATATAATTTACAAAATACTTTCCCAGTCATCCTTACAAACTGGCAATACTTGAAGGGCGATGCTTCCTTATAAGCACGTATATTGTACAAAATTCCAGTTTATTAACATGACTGTCATGGCTCTCACTAATTTAGCTATGTGGCTCATCTAACCTGCTTTGTGTTGTGGTGAGGTTAGGTTTAGGGCTGGTGCCAGGATTTCATCTGGCTAGGATGAGAGCCGGAATGGATGAGGATGAGGTACAACTATAGGTTGATCTGGGCCTGCTGCTGAAGAGCAGAGTTGGGTACTGTGGGCCAATTGGAGGATTCCATTCCGTGCAGACTATAGGTTAACAATATTGTTCTTACCAGGATGGTTTTGTAGATTAACTGTGATAAACAGTTGTATACAAAGTGCTCAGAAGTGTTTCACAAGCATTTAAAACTGAGATAGTCTTGAGTAGTGCCTGGAAGGAGATTGATGGTATAAAAATGGCATGGCAGGGGTATCTGATCTCCTCTAATTTCTCAAAGGGAATCAGCATCAGTCCCAATCTGTTCCTCACCCAGGCTTCCAATGCCAGAAAATGGCAGCACTATTTATCCAATTGCTGAAATGCAAGAGTCTTCCTTGATTCTACTTTTCTGTCCTCACTCTCCACATCTAATCCAATAACCATGTTCATTCAAAATTGGGTCCTTGTACTTACAACACACATTCATTTAATAAATATAGGTATAAGGTACATACAGTGAAGGTTCATGAATATTATATTGCAGTAATTTAATAAGGAGTTAGGAGCCAACATGACTCTTTGATCAGAATAACCTGATTAAAATTCTGTTTCAGAAAAGTGGAAAAGTAACACAAATAATATTATTAAATGTTTACATGAATCTTATAAGCTAGTAGTTATTTTCATGATTTTATACATGTGAAAGCAGGCTTAAAAAGATGAAATAAGTTTCATGTTGTATTGCACATAGGTTGGATAGGTGATGAGAAAGAGGAAGGAGTAAAATAATATTTCTTAGATTTTGAGTCTTGGTTATTAGAATGTTGGTTAAGAAATAACTTCTTGGGTGAACAAATATGATGGTGGATCAGGTAGAAGTGCATTGAGGAGCTCCATCAGCAACAACACATAATACAGGACCAAGCAGGCTCAGAAAATGGTACCAGAACTCTGTACCACATATAAAGGAATATTTACAAGGTTGGAAGGCTTACAGCTAGGGGTATTTGTAGCAGAAGCAAGAAATCCATTGCATTTTAATTCAAGATGCTCAGTTGTTCCCAGAGTGACAATCTTGGGAGAGACCAAGCGGGGGAAGGATCAGAGAAGCCACGGATGCCTGACAGAACTGCGCATATAAAGGTGTGGTGGACATTCCTTTTTTTTTTTTTTTTTTTATCTATTCATTGTCTGTTGCTGTTTGCCCACCTCCATTTTGTTGATTAGAGGGGGTGCCTGAGCGAATGGACATCCCACCCCACCCTGGAGGGTTCTACTCTGCGTGCACACAGATCTTCTCAAAATATAAAGTGACTGTTTCCACTTAAAACTAAACAGCAGTACAAAACGGCCACAGCCAGCCGTGAACTGTTTATCACTAGAAAAAAGGCCTGAATGGCGATAGTGCAGCAGGACAGGCAGACTAAAAAGGAAATAGGCCAAAAATGAAATCCTGACTTACGTCACAATGACCAGCAGTGGCATCTTGAAATTTTTCAGGAAGAAGAGTGAAAGGGGAATCCCATATCTTGATCACATCTACCTAGAGGCAATCAGAAAGCATAAAAAATACAAAAATGCACATCCATCTAAGTATTAAGGCCACAGATAACTCTTGAATATGCCCACAAAACAGAAGCAGATGACCATATAAGCATGTGTCCAGAAACAAGATAAAGTGACTGAGGCAAATGAACTGGAAGTAGATCAACATTCCATACTGGAAGATGGGAAGGCTTTGGAAATGCCTGAGAAGGAATTCAGAAAAATGATTATAAAATGTTCAAAACACTATGCAATGGAGTTGAGAAAAATAAGGAAGAAGTCAGGAAAGCACTACAGGAACAATCAAATTAGATAGTACAGCATTGGAAATAATTCAAAACCAACAGAAAGACATCCAAATGATTAATAGCAGATTTTCAAAAATGGACAATACACTGAAAGAGCAAAGGAGTAGAATTGAAGAGATAGAAGCCAGAACTAGTAAACTAGAAGATAAATCTCTCAATACTACTAAGATACAAGAGCAAGCACAAAACAGGATTTAAGAAATCTGAAGAAGGCCTATGATTCATGTTGGACAACATGAAGAGGAATAACTTAAGGATTGTTGGCAACCTGGAACAGGAAGAATCACACAAGTCCACAGAGGAGATAGGTGAAGAGCTTCTGGAAGAAAATTTCCCTAACATCCTGAAAAGTGAAAATATAAGCATTCAAGAAGCACAACGAACTCCAGGAAGGGTAGACCCTAAATGACAATCATGAAGACATATAATAATCAAGCTCTCCAAAATCAAAGATAGGGACAGAATCCTGAAAGCAGCTAGAGAAGTGTAACATACAAAAGAGAAGTGTAACATACAAAGGCAAACAAATCAGATTAAGCTGGCATCTCTCAACAGAAACCATGCAGGCAAGAAGGCAGTGGGGAGACATACATAAAATGCTGAAAGAAAAATATTTCCACCCAAGAATCCTCTACCCACCAAAGCTGTCAATCAAATACAACAGTGTAATCAAAACATTCCAGGATTAACAGAAGCTAAGGGAAACAGACAACAACCAGAGAATGATGTATGTGGCAGCATCACCCTGAACTCAGTTGACAAATGAAAGAGTCAAGAACTGAATAAAATTATAAGAACAGAGGATGTGGGAGGTCTGTCTATGATCAAAACAATTACAATGTGAAAGAAGGTAAACACAGGAACAGAGATCCAGGTGGTTAGAAGGTCAGATAGATTATAGGATAAAATAGACTGTCTTAAATGGAAGGAAGAGTTAATGGAATATAATGTAACCACAACAGTGGGGTTGGGGTAGAGGGTTTAGTTCGGGTGTTGGGTAGGGCAATACAAGAAGGGGGAAGAGTTGGAAGAACAAACAAAATAGGGGAACACTGAGACAGGTTTGCATGGCCTAAGTGGGACAGAGGTAGATAGTTAGTGATGCATGCTCAACCTTGGAACAACAGGGCTCTGTGATACAGGGATCTAGGCATAGTTTGAAGAGGGGAAATAATACTAAAGTTCTTAAGTGTCTTATGAATATTGGTTTCCCTTGCCTACTATTGTAAAATAGACACTTGAGTGGGATAGAAAGGAATATTGGGAAACATGATTAGATTTTAGAAAATTTATAAGCCCGACCTTAGCCTGTAACTGATTGGAATACCTTAAAGGGGTTCTAGAACTTATCCAGTAAATTAGACCTCTTGCAAAGCCTTTGCAGAGTATAGGACCTTAGGTGGAATCCTGAATCCCATCCAGAACCTTCTGAGGTGGTACATTTCCACTAGCAAGGACAAGCAGACCAGCCTGGAATAGCTAGAGTAACAGAAGATACTTCTTCAAAGAAAGATCATCAGGAAAAAACCAAAACAAAAATGTCAGCATGACTGGCTACTACAAGAGTAAGCAAGCTGTTCTCCAGGAAGCCATCAAGGCAAGCAATCAAGTTCCTTCAGGACAAACTCCCTCTAAGACTGAAACTAAAAGGGAGCACACAAACAGGCATGTCAGCTTGCTGGCGACCACATTGATCTACTGGTGAGTAGAAGAGGTAGAAAAGCAGCAATTGAAGAAATGGGCTGAGTTTAACCACAGTCCATTGATTCCCATTGACCTGGAGATGGAGAGAGAAGAGGAAGGCCTGGTTGATCCAAAGTGTGGTGAGACCTGGGGACACTTGAGCCCATGGACAAGGACATAACCACAGAGGGCTAGATCTGAGAGTGAAGCATCCAGCTGATATAAAGTGAGGGGAGATGCACAAGAACACCCAGACCTGCAGACAGTACCCATGTGATCTTGGCTTTATAATCCGAACTCGACTAGAGGAGGATTACAACAACAAAAAAATTTTGTTTTTTGATAAAGGAAACAAGGGTAAATTGCTACAATTTGATGAACCTGACCTATACTCAAAGAGGTGGCAACTCTAAATACTAACAGAGAGGGAAGGAGTCTTCACATCAAGTATAAATGCTATCCCCTCTGTACACAGGGTAGACAGGGACGGGCAGCTTAGACATTGGTTACTTTTAAAATGTTGTTGTTGTTATGTGCCGTCGAGTCGGTTCCGACCCATAGCGACCCTGAACAGGGTTTCCGAGGCTGTAAATCTTTACGAGAGCAGAAAGCCTCATCTTTCTCCCGCGGAGCAGCTGATAGTTTCAAACTGCTTACCATGAGGTTTGCAGCCCGATTCGTAACCACTATGCTACCAGAGCTCCTAAAGGCACAAAGTGACTAGCTTACAAGGTTTCAAGAGGGAGTTTAGTTTAAGAGTATGGGGGGCAAAAGAAGAGTCCCTACTGAATAGTTTTCATCTTGTCTAGATGCTTCTGGTGAAAAGAGATGGGGATAAGATTCGTATGATTCAATAGAGAATAATTGTTAGCATAACTAATTGTGACTGTCACAATTGTAAAGGTAGACGTTTTGTAACAAAAACAGAGGAGTGGTTAATCTTACAGTCCAGAAACAGAGGACCCCAAGACCATCAGGGGAGAAAGAGCACAAGCAGATTGTGGGACCTTATCCAGAGAAGCAGTAATGCCAGAGACAGAGGCAGAGATGGGGGCATGGAGAATGTGCCCTTTGGAGGTGTAAATTATTATATATTCTTGAGTGTTTTTTTGTTTGTTTTGTTTTTTTAAAAACTAAAGTGAATAGAGAGAAATACTGTTAACTGATGGTACGTGGAAGGGTTATAATCATTGTAATGAAACAAGATGTATGATTTGTTGAATGTAAAACTGATGAGTTGCCCTGTAAATTTTCACTCAATCCACAATAAAAACCTTAACAACAAAAAAAGAAATAACTTCTTGAAAGATCCTGTCTCAGTTGTTTACAGAATATATATAAAACAAAGATTTCAAATAGTATATTCTAAAAATCAGATTTCATTATAAATGAACTCTTATGTTCTATCCAGGTGTGTTACTTATGAACTGTTTAAAAATTCTGTTACTGTGACACTTCGTGTTAAATCTTTTTAGATTTCAGTTCTTAAAATCAGTACTTGAATTAAAAAAATAAATAAAAAGCTCTGTTTTGTGGTATCATTTACCTTATTCTACTTTTTAATTTTCATGAGCAAACTGAGTTAGAAAATAAATCACTTCACAAAACTGGTATATATACTAGAACAGTGTCTGACACATGTATACATTTAGTAAATATTTAAAGAATTTTTTTTTTTAAGGGTTAGCAAAAGTAAAGCCCTACTTAATTTTCTAAGTTATTCATTTTGTTCTCTTTTTTAAGATGCACAGTTTGAAAGTGATGAGCGAATAACACCCTTGGAATCAGCCCTCACTATTTGGGAGTCACTTGAAAAGGAACATGATAAACTTTGTGAAGAAATAAAGAATCTCATAAAAATTCAGGTATGAGTATTACTTTGAGCTTATAATTATTTGGCTAGGAAAGAAATATACGTAACATCAAAAATAAAATGTAATGTAATCTTTTGCTTCAGAAATTTAGCCTAGTTGTTGGGAATGAACACTGAGGGTTATGACTTAATGTTTGCTCCCCAAGTGTGTGACACTGTGGGTTAATATGCCAGACTGCAAAGCCCTTTGAACTGCAAGATCGGGTTCAAACTCACCAGCCACTTCTTGGAAACCCTATACAGGTTCACTATGGGTCAGAATTGACTCAATGGCACTTAACAACATTAACCCAAGTGTATGTTACCCCCACTTTAGGAAATACAGATCATCAGGCAGCAAACTTCAATATATTTGTGCTCTCCTAGTTTCTATTTAAAAATCATAAATAAAAATTGTTAAGTGCCATCAAGTCAGTTCTGACTCATGCAGTTCAAACTGACCTTCTGGTCCTGTTCTTACCCTACGGTATCACACCATTTATATTAATAATAAATTAATGTTTTTTTCAGTGACGAAGAAAATGTAAAATTTTAGGTTGTGCTGGACTGCAAAGTTGGTTGGAACCTCAAGATCAGCGATTCACGCTCACGCTCACCAGTCACTCCTTGGAAAGCTTATATAGGGTGTCACTAGAAGTCGGAATCGATGTGACAGCATTTAACAACAACAAACATTTTAGGAGTAAACTTGAAAAGCACAGGAAATCAAGACAGTTAATCAAAGTTACAGATAAATAAGCAGGAAAAACATATTTTGCTGACAAGACTAAATAAATACTAGGGACATTCTTAGACTTTTCAGTCTTTTAAAGGTTTTTACAGGTTGAGGAAGAGAGACATTTTGGTGTTTTTCACCTTATCATAAATGCACTATTTGTATGTTCTATTCAGATTTGTTACTAATGAACTATTTAAAAATTCTGTTACTGTGAGTTATTGATGTTGTTGTTGTCAAGTGCCAGCGAGTAGATTCCGACCCACAGTGACCCTGTATAGGGTTTCCAAGGAGCAGCTGGTGAGCTTGAACCGCTGACGTTGCAGTTCAAACGGCTTTGCAGTCTGGTGCATTAACCCGCAGCGCCACACCAGGAGTCCATTGATGTTGTTAAGTGCTATCAAATCGGTTCTGACTCATAGCGTCCCTGTGTAGGGTTTATGAGGCGCAGCTGGTGAATTTGAACTGGTGATCTTGTGGTTCAAAGTGACCTCATGATCTAGTGCATCATCCTGCAGCACCACACCTGGATTGAGTTATTGATAGTTGGTGTGATTATCAAGTAGAATTAGGACCTGCCAGGAAACATGGCTGAAATGTGACTGCTTCTTGGAAGAATTTCACCCCATCTAGGACAGAGATTTGTCACATTATCCCAGTCTTTTGGCATTCTAGAGGAACATGGGCTATATAACCAGCCAGTTTTATGTATGTTAATCTTTATAAAGGGGAGTGTAGTGGCTCCATACAATAAGCACTGGACTGCAAACCACAAAGTCAGTCGGTGGTTTAAACTCACCAGTCACTGTTGGAGAAAGATGAGACTTTGTGCTCCCACAAACATTTAAAATCTCAGATACCCCAAACAGTCACTATGAATTGGAACTTAATGGCACTTAGCAAAAACAACTGCAAACTTTACAAACAACATTGTATCTCCTTCATTTCCCTTTTGTTAAAAATTAATATTTAGATGCATCTGAATTGTACATAGTGTACCTTCTAATTTAGTAATGGGTACCTCTAATTTGGCCTAAAGAAAGTGAGCGAATGCTGGGTATTTTTTAATAAATATGCATGAGACCACTGAGCTATTTTCAGATCTTTTTAAGCTATACTTTTATTTGTATTTATTTTTTCAGCTTTTTATTGTAAATTGAATGAAGGTTAACAGAAAAGACCATCAGATTTACATTCAACAGATTATACCTTTTCTTTCATCTCGATGATAGTCCCCTCCCTGCAACAACAGTTATCCTACTTCCTCCCTGTGGCTTCCCTGTTACATGTTATATTTCACAAATGAACAAAGCAAAAATATTTGATATACTCATACAAAACAAGAACTATATATTTATTTAAATATCATAAGGGCATATCATGCCTCCAGGCACACAGTTTTATTCAATCAGTGGGCCTAGAGCCTGCGGCTGCTCTCTATCTCCATGCCATTGCCTCTGCCACCATCTCTGCCTTATTATTTTTCTGGGTAGGATCTCATGCTCCATTCATGTTCTTCTTTTTTGATCGTCCTGGGATCGTCGGTTCCTGAAATGAAAGATTAACTACTCCCCACTTTTAGGTAAACATCTTCTACAATTATAGTTGTGACAATTGTAATTAATTCTGCTAACAGTTACTCACAATTAAAAGATAAATCCTATCAGCATCATCCCACATCCCCTTTCACCAGATATATCTGGGAGAAGAGGAAACTATTTAGTGGGGGAGTCTACCTTACCCCCCCATCCCCATTCTGAAACTAAGCACAGTTGTGAAAGCTTGTTAGCCAGCTACTTCGTGTCTTGATAGCCCCCGTTTTTGATTGGATTGCCGTTCTATAACCCAGTGCACAGAGGAAACAAGCTTGTTACTTGACATGAAGAATCATTCCATTCTGATTGAAATTTTGAGCTACTGCATCCATAAGCAAAGGTCCAGTTCATCTAATTCTAGCAATTTATATTTGTTCACAATATCCATCATCTTTATCTTCATCTGGTTGAGTTCTGGTCAGCTAGCTATCCAGGCTAGGTCAAATGGGTACTATCTGCAAGTTTGGGAGTTCACACACATCTCCTTGCACTGATACATCAAGCCATACTTTTAAAAGTATTTTATCATAATCAAAATTACTAAATTGAATTAATATATTTAAATGAGGTGCTTTAGACTTGAGACCTTGGTAGTAGAATTAAATTCTAACCTTTCATGCAGAAGTCCTGGGTTCAGTTCTTGGCCAGTACACCTCATATACAGCCCATAACTGTCAGTGGAGGCTTGCTGTTGGCAGAGGCTAAACCAATTGCAGCGTAGTTTCCAGACTCAGATGGATCAGGAATCGAACCTGTGGATAATGGGGGATCAGGTAGCAGTGCATTCCATTGGTCATCATGAGTCCAAGGCCAACTTGGTGGCAGTTAACAGCAGCAACATTTTAGACTTAGCTGAATTTGTTCAAAGCTAAATTATTAGATACAAAAAATAAACAATATGTGTTTGTTGTCCTATCTTTTAGGCTATAGCTGTTTGTATGGAAAATGGCAATTTTAAAGAAGCAGAAGAAGTCTTTGAAAGAATATTTGATGATCCAAATTCTTATACGGTAATTGTTTAAATTAGAATCATCAAAATTAAGGACTGTTTTTATGAAATGAGGAAAATTGAAATTTGGGGAAAATAGAATGCTTTGTCTTTTAAAACAACATAGTAAAACAATAAAAATATAATGGTAGTCACATGTTATATTAAAATTTCTAATACCATATTAAAAATGCAAAAAAAAACAGGTGAAATTAATTTTAATAATTTTTATTTAACAAAAAAAACTTTTTAGATTCATAAAACATAATTTTTAACAATGTGAAAATTATCAGATATCTTATATTACCTATTTTTTGTGCAAAGTCTTAAAAATCCAGTGTGCACTTCATACTTACAGTTTATCTAAAATCAGACTAGTCCCCATTTTAAGGAATCATTAGCCACATGTGATTAGTGGCTACCCAATCTGGCACCACAGGTATAGAAGAAGGTATGATAACTGGTTTATTTTTCCAAGAAATTTCTTAATGTGAGCAGTTGTAATTGCTTTTGTGTTGAACGTTGCTTGCTGTAGTTAGGTACGTTGACTCATAATAACCCTGTGCACAACAGAATGAAACACTGCCCGGTCTTTGGCCAAACTCAGAATCATTGCTAAGCCTGACCCCATCGCTGCCGCCACTGTGCCAGTCCATCTCATTGGTGGTCTTCCTCTTTTTTCCAACCCTTCACTGTACAAACATGATATCCTTCTCCAGTGACTGGTCCCTCCTGACAGTATGTCCGAAGTGTGAGAGACGAAGTCCAGCCATCTTTGCTTCTAAGGAGCATACTGGCTGTACTTCTTCCAACACAGATCTGTTAGTTCTTTTGACAGTCTATGGTACTTTCATTATTCTCCTCCAACACCATAACTCAAATTCATCAATTCTTCTATGATCTTCCTTATTCACGGTCCAACTTTCACTTGCATGTGAGGTTATTGAAATTATCATGGCTTGGGTTAGGCTCATCTTAGTTCTGAAGCTGACATCTTTGCTCTTCAACACATTAAAAAGGTCTTGTGCAGCAGATTTGCCTAATACAATATGTCATTTGATTTTTTGACTGCTGTTTCCATAAATGTTAATGGTTGAATTGAGCAAGATAAAGTCTTTGACAGCTTCAGTCTTTTCTTAATTGATATGGATGTTGTTTATTGGTCCAGTGATTAGGATATTTGTTTTCTTTATATTGAGAAGCAACCCATACTGAAGGCTGTGGTCTTTGATCTTCATCAGCAAGTATTTTAATTCATCTTGGCTATCAGCAAGCAAGATTGTATCCTCTGCATATCACAGGTTGTTAATGAATCTTCCTTCAATCCTAATGCCATGATTTTTGTCATATAAACCACCTTCTCTGATTATTTGCCAGCATACAGATTGAATAAATATGGTTATTGGTTGGTTCCAATGAATGTCAGTACTATTGTACAATCATGGCACACACCTTTCCTAATTTTAAACCATTCAGTGTCTCCTTGTTCTGTTTGAACAACTGCCTCTTGGTCTGTGTACAGGTTCCTCATGAGCACAATTAAGTATTCTGGAATACTTATACTTCACAATGTTGTCCATAGCATATCATGATCCACACAATCTAAAGCTTTTATGTAGTCAGTAAAGCACAGGTAAACATCTTTCTGGTAGTCTCTTCTTTCAGCTGAGATCCATCGGACATCAGCAGTGATATCCCTCGGTCCATGTCCTCTTCTGAACCTGCCTTGACCCTCTGGGAGTTCTCTGTCAAAGTATGGTTGCAGCCGCTTCTGTGTTACCGTTAGTAAAACCTTAGTTGCGTTGGGTCATCTCTTTGGAATGGGCAAAATACTCTTCCAGACAGTTGGCCAGGTAGTTGTCTTCCAAATTGCTTGGCATAAATGAGTGAGTACCTCCAGTGTTGTAATCACTTTGTTGAAAGATTTCAATTTCTTTACCTGTGACTTCAGTGTACCTTAGTCTTCTTCCTTCAGGATCATTGGCTCTGGATCATATGCTACCTCTTGAAATGGTTGAACATCGTCCGTTTCTTTTTGGTATAGTATCTCTATTCCTTCCATCTTCTTTTGATGCTTTTGGCATCATTCATTGTTTTGCCTATAGACTCTTTCAATATTGCAAGTTAATGCTTGAATTTTTTCTTCACTTCCCTCAGCTTGAGAAATGCTGAGCATCTTACCTTTTGATTTTGTAACTCCGGGTCTTTGCATATTTTGTTATAATGTTTGACTTTATCTTCTAAAGCTGATCTTTGAAATTTTCTGTTCATCTTTTGTACCTCCTCACTTACATTTGCTTTTGAATCTCCACACTGGAGAACAAGTTTGAGAATCTCTTCTGACATCCATTTTGGTCTTTTCTTCCTTTCTTGTCTTAATGTATGATGTTCTTGATGTCATTTCAGAACTCTTTTGGTCTTCGGTCTTTAGTGTCTAATGCATCAAATCTTTTGTTCACATGATATCTAAATTCAGGTGGAATATATTTAAGGTAATATTTTGGCTCTTGTAGACTTGTTTTAATTTTCTTTAGCTACAGCCTGAATTTGCATTTGAGCAATTGATGGTCTGTTCCACAGTCTGCCCCTGGCCTTGTTTTGGCTGATGATATGGAGCTTTTCCTCCGTCTCCATTAGTAATTATTAATAGTCCATTAGTGAATGTTTTAATTTTCTAAATATTTGGCAAAATATATAAGTATGATGCAAAAATAGTTTCTTTTAGATTAGTCAGCTCAATGCTGTTCCCTATGAAGTAAAGGTTAAAGATATCTCAAAGTCTGACTTTTCTTTATGACTCCATAGTCCCTGATATCAACCACTACTCCTCCCTCAGTATTCTCTCCTACATCTTGTCCCAGGGTTTTAAACCTCACAGCAGTGTCTCATAGAATTTACAGGCTGTCAAGGAATGGGCTTACAGGGTTGTGTGTAGAGGCAGCAAATTCCAGATCAGTAGTTCAGATGTCAGTCTTGGAGGATTCTCCTCACTCACCCAGAATTGGGCTGTGGACTCACAGCTCTGTGGAAGCGGACAGATCTGATCTGGCTGATGGCTCAAGTCCCCAGAACTGGAGGTTATCTGGGGGTGAGCTTCGTTAGTCAGGCAAGGGAATGCACAGCCCACTCACATCACCAAGATACCTCATTTTATACCAAGCAGGACGGCAAAATTGACCAAAGCCCTCATTAAATTTTGAAGTCTTTATAATCACAAGTAACCCTGTTAATAACTCACAGTAAGACCATATAATCCTATCAGCACCTCTCCCTACCTCTCTTACCCAGACCCATCAGGAAAAAAGTCATACAGTAGGAGTTAAAACGACATGACTAGAAGAGTCAATAAATAATTCACTGCACTGTACAGGGATTCCAGCAATTCCTCTTTTAGATATGTACCCTAAAAAACTCTTTTCACTATACATATTGTAATGCCACATCATTTTTTTTTTTTTTAATTGAGATGCAGGCTCCATTGAGATTATTAGGACTAGGATGGAGCCTGAGAAAGTAGAGTTTTTAAAAGGTACTGTAGGATAGGCACTGGAATGCAAGGTCAGTACCACAAGGTCGAGGTTCAAACTCATCATCTGCTCCTTGAAAATTCTGTACAGGGTCACTATGAGTTGGAACCAACTTGAAGGCACTTAACAGCAACAACAACATAATTTTTATTTACAGCATTGAAAGAAGTGCTGTCCACAAAAAATGTATCATACGAAATAAAGTATGTAGAAAATGTGTAAAATAACATTGCAGTAAAAAAAAAATAAATTGAAATGCCCTCAATATGTTAGAAGATTGGATGAATATAGTTTTGTTCAATGGAATATTAGATAGCAGTGAAAGTCACAACTTCTCTACCTGTGAACCAGTATGGATAAATCTCATAAACATAGAATTGAGCAAAAGATAAAAGTTTCAGAGGAATATATACAATATGACACCAGTTTCTTTAAATTTTAAAAATGTTAACCAGTACTATGTATTTATGGATATGTATTTAAGAGGACTTTAATAGCTTGTGGGAAAATGGAATTAAAAGAATTTTTTTCATGTGTGTAGAACTAGCATTAATGGACTGCCTTTTCGTGAAGAATTACAAATTCAGGATCCTGGTTACCTTGGGAGGGAGAGGAGAGGTGCAATCCGACTGATAGTTAATGAATTTTAATTGTGTTGATAATGTTGTAATTCTTAAGAAGGTTAATGGACACTCATGTCAAATATCCTTTTCATCATTTGTATGTGTTAGAAATATAAAGTACAGTATTTTTTTTCTTTTTAATTGGGACCAAGAAAAAGATCAGTAAAAAATGCACCAGAGTTAACAATTTAAAACAAAGAAGAATATTTTAAAGTTCTTAATTGTGTCTCTGTGTCTCTTAGAGCTTATATTTTTAGTCAGATGATTTTGTTTTAATAGATAATGTATTTCTCATGCATTTAATTTTGTTTGCTTTTGTGCTGATGTCTTTTTTTTTTCTGATTTCTTTAGCCTTTAAAAAGAAAATTGCTGGCGATAATCTCTCAGAAAGATGCCTTCCATTCTATTTTTCAACACTTCAGCTACAACCAGATGATGGAAAAAATAAAGAGTTATGTGAATTATGTGCTAAAGGAAAAATCATCAACTTTTTTAATGAAGGTATAGTTATAATTTCAGCAAAACTAACAGTGGTCTAGGAAAATTGCTATAATAGAATATTTAAAATAGAAATATTTTCAAACTAATCAGAATGATTATATAAAAAGGATGTGGCAAAATGTTACAATCTGCATCTATGACAGTGTGGATGCTGTGTGCAGCTATTTTTACAACTTTTCAAAAGTTGGAATTAAAGATGTGTGGTTTACTTAGAATGAATTAAGAATAAAAATAGTTTTAAATTCAGGAAATTTTAGGAGAATAGACTTGGATTTAAGCATCTTTTTCATTGTAAATTAATGACATTTCTCTTGGCTTCAAAAAGTTTTAAGTTTATATGTAATTATAATGGAATGTCTTGACTGATATGACGTTTTATTTCAAACTGTCTGGAATTTTTGATTATTTAAAGTAGGGTTTTATTTGACTGCTACTTAGAGAGCATTGTGCCATTAAGTACATTCACTTAGAAAGAGACCCTCCATAATGCATATAAACCAAAGAGGTAGCTAAAGTAGCTGTTGGTGCTGTCATAGTTCATACTGTTATTAGTTAAAGTAACAACAGAGTATACCCTATACTGGCTTATAAACAGATACTTTGGTTAGGAATATCTTGAAAAATTAGAAAATGCAATTTGTGGTGTTTATTTAAAATGGCTTAATACATTTCTGCTTACTCCTACCTCCTCCTTTTTCAGGCAGCAGCAAAAGTTGTGGAAAGTAAAAGAACAAGAACACTAACTACTGAAGAGAAATCTGATAGTAATGATATTGAAATGGAAACTCAAGTTAATTTAGATACACGAAAAAGGTTGGTAAATTTATTAATGTACTTGGTATATGTGAAAGTGATCCTAATGATGCATTATTTCATTAATGAGTATATTATCTAATGACTGCCATATGGATATTTAGAGTGCTCCAGTTACTTTATGACTTATGCAGATTCTGTTAGGTGTACTAAACAAATATCAAAAGTATGAAAAAATTGCCATTTAAATTGTGTAGCTAATTTCCATTTTAGAGGGTGTGTGCTCTTAGATCCCATGTACTCTCAGTATGTGACTGTCTCACTGTACTTTGCATTATTTTAGTATTTAAAGATATTTTCATATATCTTCTGTAAAAGCAAGCTAACCATTTATGGTATCAACCGAGGAAACAGTGATTTTTCTCCAATGCTAGTAGAAAACAACCTGGATCAGTTGTGCATATGTTTTGTAGTTGTTAAGTGCTGTCAAGTCAGTTCTGACTTATAGTGACCCTGTATAGGGTTTTTGAGGAGCAGCAGCTGCTGAGCTTGAACTGTGAACCTTGTGGTTCAAACCAGTGTTGCAGTCCAGCGCAATAACTTGCAGCACCACAGCATATGAGAGATAATAATTCAGTCTAAAATTATTTCTTTGGGGATTTCCAGGAGTGATTTTTACCTTTGCCCTGGCTTTAACAAATAATGTACCTGTAGGGCAGTACAACATTACCATTAAAGGACATCTTTTCTGTTGAATTCATGGTTCATTCCCTCATTTTACTGCCCTTATCCATAGACCTGGTATGGCACTGTAGAAAAAGCAGTGGACTGCTAAACACAAGGTTGGCGGTTCAAACCCATCAGCTGCTCCTCGGAAACCCTATACAGCATCACTAGGGGTCAGAACCTACTCAACAGCATTTAACGCCACTACCTAAAGACCAGAAAGTCAAGTCCCTGTGGTCTCTGAATGGATCTGTTGATACGGATGTAATGTTATTGTTTTCTCCTGGGACCATGACTTGATAATTTCAGGGACCTCATCTTAGCTATTACATACTTGGGAGTTGAGGATTGGAGTCCAAGTTAGATGTGTATGTGTGCTACAGTGGTCACACCTCAAGGATGAAACTCAGTTATCTTAGAGTGGTCCCTCGTTTTGTTTCTATCAGAACAAGACTTTGCTGGTTCATCTCCCAGGACTGTAGTGAAGTCTTACTTCTCATAGGCTTATATTCTGAAACCATTATGAGTAGTGTTGTTGTTAAATGCCATCCAGTCAGTTCCAACTCAGAGAGACCCTTTCTTGGGTTTCCGAGGAACAGCTGGTGGGTTTCAATTGCCAATCACAGTTTAATAAATACTAAGACCTACAACATGCCTAGTCTTGCTAACCAGTATTGCTGCTGTAAATGAAATTTGGTCAAATGAAAACTTACTAAGGTGCGCCCAGCAGGAGAAAGATAAGGCTTTCTGCTCCCGTAAAGATTTACAACCTCGGAAACCCTGTACAGGGTCGCTATGAGTCAGAACCGACTCCATGGCACATAACAACAAGGTGCACCTAACCCAAGCCATGTGGTATTTTCAATAATACCATGCATGCAAAAGCTGAACAGTTAATAAGGAAGACCGTAGAAGAATTGATGCTTTTGAGTTGTGGTGTTGGAGAATATTGAAAGTGCCAGGAAATCATGTTTGGTAGGGTGGAGGGTCAGAGAAAAAGAGGAAGACCCCCCAGCAAGATGGATTAGCAGGGGAGCAGCATCAATGGGCTCAAGCGTGGTAACAGTTGTGAGGTTAGCCCAGGATTGGGCAGTGTGTCATTCTGTTGTGCATAGGGGTCACTATGAGTTGTTACCAACTTGAGTACAACGACAACCTTAATCACTAAGCATTAACCCCTTTCTGCTCACATACATGCTACTCTCTAGCGACACAGAACATTCCTGTTGTGTTAGAAGCTCTTTCACGCCTATGTACCCTCACTTGGTTCTTTCTGTTTCACATTCCCTTCCATTTGTTCTCTCCAAGACCAGCTCTTGCCAAGGAAGATCTAACCCAAAGATCATCTCTGTAAGTCTTGCCTACCTCTCCAATCACATCTGTGCTCTTACAGCACAAGTCATACTGCTAGACAAGGGCCGGTATAGTAACTTCACTATTTGTGTGTCTATCTCTCCTTAGAGTGAGAATTCTTTGTAGAATTGTTGTGTGAGTCATTTCCAAGTCATAGTTACCCTATATGAGAATAGAATTGCCAGTGGAGCTTTCTAGGTTGTAATCTTTATGGGAGCAGATTGATGTGGCTTCTGTGGAGCCACCCACTGATAGGCTTAAACTGCTTGCCCTTGTGCCCACCAGGGCTCTCTAAAACCAAAATTGAAAAAGATTAACCATCAGGCATCAGTCAAATATCAAAACTCTCCAGGGAGTACTTAGGGCATTTCAGATTCACCAGTATCAGTACAGGAATAAGCAGGATTCAGTATTTTTGTCTGGTAAAGTTTATAAACTAATAGTAGTTGATTCTAACTCATGGTGGCCTCGTGTGCAGAGTAGAATTGCTTCATAGGATGTTTCAAGTTTGTGACCTTTTTAGAAATAAATCACCAGTCTGTCTTCTGAGATATGCCTAGGTCAGTTAAGACTGTCAACTGACAGTCCAGTGCTTAACTATACCACCCTGGGACTCAAAACAAATAGTAGCTGGTACTGTGTAATCCAGTATTAAAGTCTTACAGATAGACATAAGATGCTTCAAGAATGCCTAAGATTTTTGCCGGTGAATAGAAAAGCACATGTTATTTCAGAAGAATAGTGAATGTATGGAGGGTTAAATGATTAAATGCTGTATATGTGAGGTAAATTATCTACAACCAGGGGGAGATGAGATTTGTTTTTCCCTTCAGTTGTTAAATGATGGGGAGGCCAAGACATTTAACTTGAATCAGTGGAAATAAAGAACCATGGAAGGCTTTTTGAAAGAATGGTTTAATGAATGCTAGATAACAACCTAACTAAGCTTACTTTGTTTGGGAAGAAAATTTTTAAGCACATCTGGAGAAAAAAAATACACATGTTGTAGTGAATTCTGTATGTCCTAAGTTTACCAGGGTTTCTTTTCAGAGATATATTTTATAAATCGAAATTTGACTTGCCTATGTAGATAGTGTTGTCTTTACGAAATTGTTTTGTGTTTACTGTTTACATCTTACAAATTTTTTTCTTCTCTTTAAGTGTTAGTGACAAACAGTCTGTCGTAACTGAATCCTCAGAGGGTACAGTATCCTTATTGAGGTGAGGTAAATTGATGTTTTTCTTCTCTATTGTAAAAACCCTTGATTAAACTAATTCATACAGGTTCAAGTATGTTATAATAACTATCATAGAAATGATGGGATAAAATGAATACCTCAGAGCGCTGTATATTTCTACTGGTACGCTACTCCTCATTCTTCAGATTCCAAACTATAGAGACCTGTAAGGCTTTTCATGAAATACATGAATAGGTACTGCTTGAAAGCAGATATTTTGTAAACTTTTCCTCTGTCATGGGATAGGGTTACATTTCTGATGAATATTCCAAAATTCTGACTTTAAGAAATTACCTGCGAAACAATGTTTAATTAACTAATACTGATGGTGATTTACAATGTAACATATTCAGAGAGTAGAAAGTCTGCATGAAGGATTTTAAAGACAGCAGTTTGGGATGCGGCATTTCTGGAGGGAGGGGATGACTAACTTGGTGTAAAGGAGGTTGGTTATTGGAGATGAAGAATTGAGAGGCCAGGATGTTATATGGGCTACACATGAGAGCACTGATTTACCGTCTAGCACCTGAGAGTAGAGAAACATGATGAGACGTGCTTTTGAGTGACACTGGAGAATGTTAGGAGCCCTGCTGTGGTGCTGGAGGACATGCACTGGACTGGTAACTGCAAGGTCAGTGCCTTAAACCCACTAGTCGCTTCTCAGAAACCTTATATAGGGTCACCGAGTAGAATTGACTCAGTGGCATTTAACAATAAATGCCATTTTGTGGCTCCTGCTTCTGTAGAAACTTTTCTGTAGAGTTACACTGCCTTCTGTTGTTGTTATTATGTAATGTTGAATCTGTTCTGACTCACAGTGACCCTGTATAGGATTTCTGAGGAGCAGTTGTGGGTTTAAACCACTGACCTTTCAGTTAGCAGTCCATTGCTTATCTTACAGTGCCACCCCAGCACCTTTGGTGGGAAAAAAACAACCCAATACAAACTCACCTCTGGGACCTTTTGGCTTAAGGAGGGCAGTAGAATAAATCAGCCTGCACGTGAGAGAGCCACAGAGATGGGGATGTTTGGGGAGTTGGGAAAGGATGAGCAGGCTGCAGAGAACATTTCTGGGATCCACATACAGGTAAAAATGGCCTACTTTGCAGGGTGTCAAACAAGTGTATTTGGCATCATGTATTCCAAAACAACTTTATTTTGTTCTTTAAAAAAAAAAATTTTTTTTTTAATTTGTAAAGATAATTTGGTTCAAGTTCACCAGCTGCTCCTCGAAAACCGTATACCGGGTCACTGTGGGTCGGAACCGACTCGATGGCACTTAACAACATCATGTGAGGAAATACTAGAAATTTTTGTGAGTAGTAAATAAGCCATAGGAGAGAATGCAATTCAGTGCTTCACAGTCTGAGGATGCTTTTTCTTGGTCTATTTGGAAAGCCAAAAGAATCTTGATTTTGAGTGGGTTAGATGGAAGCAATAGGTTTGTGATGAAGGAGAGGAAAGTTTAGCAACAAATTTTAAGAGGTCAAAGGTAAAAATGAGCTCTGCGCAGAGAGAGCCCGTAGGGAAGCAGGCCAAAGTAGAGGTTCCCAGAATAAAGAATAAGATAAATTGCCTATCTTTTTTTCTGTAACTTTGCTAGTTTTCCTGGAACCATTCACGAGCTTTCTTATTTTATTCAGGTCTCATAAGAATCTCTTTTTATCTAAGTTTGACTGTGGAAGCCAACTACACGGTCCTAATGAGAAAGAGAAAAGAATGGAAACGGTTCAAAGTGAGTACTGGTGATGTCATTTTTTAAGTGTAGAGTTGGGTACGTGCTTAAAAGTCTCCAACTGTTGACCTCACTGCCACACACAAATACAATCTTCAGAAAACTGAAGCACACAGGTTGGATGCATTAACTTTACAGGGTTCATTAGAGGCGATGTTTAAATTAGAAAGTAATTTTGACTGCTTAGTTGAGTTACTTTTACTATAGTACACTGCCTTTTTATTTAGACTGTATTCAGGAACTTCAGGTAATAATGTTTCTGAAACAAATAGTATCAAATGGTATGTTTTCTGTCTACTTTTATTACATTCATAATTTACTATTCTTATGAAAGGATTTGCTGGATTTAAATTTTAAAACCTACATTTTAAAAAAAAAAAAAAAAGCTACTAAAAGCCATTCATAAGTTTTCCATTACAATTTGCTTGTAAATTCCCATCTCCATATATATTCAACAAAGAAATGTTCCCAATATTGTACTAATGCAGATATTTTTAAATCATACTGATTCAAACTGAAATGCTTTCTGATCAGTATAATGATCATTTAAGGCCAAGTCCTGTGCCATCTTCGTACCATTTTGTTGTGGCTCTTGTATCAGTCCCTCTTACTGTGCCAGCTATGAAGTCTTCCTAGCAGTCATTCTTTCCCAATGACTTGTCCCAAGTGAGCATGATAGTATTCTTTCTAAGACTGATATGTTCATTCTTCAGGCAATCCTGGTGTGGCTCTGTAGGATAAGCATTGGACAGCTGACTTCAAAATTAGTGGTTCATATCCACTTGCCCCTCCTCAGAAACCCTATACAGGATTCCTGTGAATCAAAACTGACTCTGCAGCTCTTAACAACAGTTCACAGTATATTTAGTACTCTTCATCAGCACCACAATTCAAATACACCCATTCTACTTCTGTCTTCATTTTTTGTTGTTTAGTTTTTGTAGCGTAGTGGTTACGAACCGCAAGGTCAGCTGTTCCGTGGGAGAAAGATGAGGCTTTCTGCTCCCGTAAAGATTTATAGCCTCGGAAACCCTGTACAGAGTCGCTATGAGTCAGAACTGACTCCACAGCACATAACCAAAAATGTTTTTGTAAGCATGAGTCAGTTTAAAAGACTGTCTTGGACCAGATGGTCTACCTTAGTTATTAAAGAGATATCTTAGATTTTTACAACTTCAAAGAGGACTTTTACAGCAGATTTGCCTAGTGCAATATATTTGACTTCTTGAATGCTGCTTTCATGGACATTGATTATTGATTCAGATGGAATGGAACCATTGATAGCTTCAGTTTCTACTTATCATGATGATGTGTTATGGATACATTTGGAGGTTTTTCTTTTTCTTTAGAGTCAGATGTAATTCACAATCTTTGACCTTAGTAAATGTTTCAGGTTATCTTTATTTTCAGTATGCAAGGTTGTGCCATCTGCATATCACACAGATTATTGTTAATGATCTCCAGTCCTGAAGCTGTGTTTTTCATATAGTCCAGCTACATGGATTCTTTGTTTGGCATATAAATCGAATAAGTAAGGTGAAAGGACCCAACCTTACTATATACCTTTTCTAATTCTGAACCATATAGTATCTCCTTGTTCTGTTAATTCATATGGAAGATTCCCATGAGTACAGTGAAGTGTTGTGGAGTTTCCATTCTTTGTAACGTTTTCCATAATTTGTTACTATCTGTATAGCCAAATGCTTTTGTGTGTTGAAAATACACAGGTAAACATCATTGATATTCTGTTTTCAGCCAAAATCCATCTGATATCAATAATGGTCTCCCTTGTTCCACATTTTCTTCTGAGTCTGGGTTGAATGCATGGCAGTTCCCTATTATATGACTACACTCATTTTTGAGATATCTTCAGCAAAATTTTGCTCATGTGTAATAGGTCAGGTAACTGTTCTTCCAAACTTCTTGACTTAAGATAAGTTAATGCTTCTTACATTGCGTTTATTTTACAAGCATCTCAGTTGATAGTCCCTCAATTCCTGGGACCTTGTTTTTTACCAATGCCTACTCTGCAGCTGTGACATCTTCTTTCATTATCAGCAGTTCTTGATCATATGCTCCTTCCTGAAATGGTTGTTTGTCAGTCAGTTCTTTTTGAAACAGTGACTCTGTTCCTTCCATCATCTCTTGATACAGTGTCATTCAGTTTTTACCCATGCGTCTCTCTACAGAATTTGCTCAGTATTAGGAGCTGAATGAGCCTATTACACATTCAGCAAGAACTTCAGGGGTTTTCAGGACCCATGGCAGACTACCTCTCTGAACACATAGTTCTAGAATGATCCTGTTAACTCCTACAAATAATTCTTCTTGATACTTCAGTTGAAATTGCATTGAAACAATTTCATTTGGGAGAAAACTGGCAATTATGATATTAAGTTTTCCTATTACATATTTTGGAGTCCTGGTGTGGCACTGTAGGTTAATGCACTGGACTGCAAATTCACTTTGAACCGCTGCAAGGTTGGTGGTTCAAGCTCACCAGCTGCTCCTTGGAAGCCCTGTACAGGGCCACTATGGGTCAGAATCGACTCGGTGGCACTTAACATTACATATTTTGGAGTCCTAGAGGGATACTATAGGATAAGCACTGGACTACTAACAAAGATCAGTAGTTCAAATCAACCAGCCACTCCTTGGAAACCCTATATAAATTTGCTATGAATTGCAACAGACTCAATAGCATTTAGCAACAAGAAGTACATGTTTTACACACACATATAAAGTTATGCTTTCTAATTTAATTCATGTAGGTCTTGTATCAAAGAACCTCTTATTTTGGGTTGCTGTTGGCATTGTGGGTTAATGAGCCAGACTGCAAAGCTGTATGAACTGCAAAGTCAGTGGTTCAAGCTCACCAGCTGCTTCTCGGAAACCCTGTACAAGTTCACTGTGGGTCGGAATCAACTCGATGGCACTTAACAACAAATTATATATAAATACTGTTATTCCCTCTTAACCATTGTTTTGCTTTCTGTGGTTTCATGTACCCACTATTACCTGAAACCATTAAAAATGTTAAGTGTTGTCATCTTGCTCCATGCCACCTGAGATGTGAATCATTCTGTTTTTCAGCCTATCTATGCTGTGTATACTATCTGCCCATTAAGTTGTTAAATCTCTTACTGTGTCTAAATTATGAATTAAATTTTATTATAGCTGTGTATGTACAGGACAAAATAGAGTATAATAGTATATAGACAAGGGAACTTCAGAAGTTCATGAAAATAATTTCATTTTCCACCAACTTTTTGAAGCCCCTTCTTATATGATTGGGTACCATGTGCAGTTTCAGGTATCCACTGGGTACCCTTTAAAAATACAATAATGTCTTCTCTTCATGTGGATCAATAATTGATGATAGCATTCTGCTTTTAGGTGGAAGAAAGAACGTGAAGTTAAGTAGAAGATCAAGTGAACACAAGAAAGGAAATTACAAAGATCAGCCAGTAACTTCTGAAAAATATCGAGTTAGGAAAAAACAGGTAAGTTTAGCATGTATGACAAGAAATAAATGAAAACAAAATTATAATTATTAACAGATGATCATTGTTTATATAAAAACCCAGGAGAATTAAAAAGTGTAGAGGAAATTGAAGGATATTGCAATGTAGGAGTTAAATCCACATTATAAGCTTTACATTCCTAAGAAGTATCTACTTTAAAAAAGATTCTATAAAGTATATAAAAAATATGCCAGAAAATATAGAATTGAATTTTTAAATATAGAAATTAACTGGGTGGTTAAGCACTTGACTATTAGTCAAAAGATTGGTAGCTTGAATCCACCTAAAGGTCCCTCACAAGACAGTTGGAGACCTGATTCTTGAAGGCCCCATGCACAGTTCTACTCTGACCCGTGGGATCGACTGGGCAGCAAGTATAGTTACTTATACTAATACTAAGTAAATGTGTCCTATTGTAGCACCTTATTGTATCATAGTATATTGTTCAGTTATTGATTGCTTTAGGATGTATTTTATACCATTGCTACCCAGTGAAAACTTGGCAAGGTTGTGTTTTAAAAATGAAACTTGCCATACTTGTAAAGTGAGAAGGGGCTATTTCTACTTTAGACATCATTCTGTTTTCTTTAGGATAATATTGCAAATATTTAGAAACAGTCTTTTCCTTAGTATCTTGAATAAAAGCAAGGTAAAACAAATATGACACTTGAGGAACTATAGACAGTAGCCAACCTAAATGTTGTCATTTGGATGGATCTTTAGCCCATTGGGTTAAAAGTTTGAGTTATATGATAGTTTAGAATAGTGATCCATAGGCTCGTCTGCTTTAAGAAGGAGAACTACCACCTTTTTAAGTCTGATTATACGATATGTGGCACTGGAGGGTAAGTACTGGGCTGCTAACCTAGCCACAGGTTGCCAGTTGAAACCCACCAACTACTCCTCAGAAACCATACAGTATCGCTATGAGTTGGACTATGAGGTAGCATCAATGGACTCACACATACAGCAATTTTGAGGGTAGCCCAGGACTGGGCATTGTTTCGTTCTGTGTGTCATAGGTCACTGTCAGTGGGAACTGACTCAGTGGCACTTAACAACAACAACAGCATGCTGACCTTAACCCTTGGCTTGGTATATAATGTATGCATCTAAATTTTCCTCGTATTTACCCTTGTAACCATTCCTTTAAAGCAAGTACCAATGATGCATCAAATAAAAGGAAAACAATCACAATTGAAAATAAAGTGGAATGTATAGTAATTGGAAAAGTGTTAGGCCAACAACTGGAACAATTTTAAAGTGAGAATACAGGAGCATGTGAAAAGCTTTGCCTTGATGACAGCTATAGTTAATACTAAACAAGGCAATGGTTTAGTTACTGAAATGAAAAGGTTATTAGTAATTTGGTTATGATGATCAAAATAAGCATAATGCCTGTTAGCATGTGGGATATAAAAATAGTGAAGCCAAGGCTCCAAGCCTTTTAATGATTTAAAAGCTGCATACCAAGCAAGTGAAGGTGATTGTGTGATGAAGAGTTTCTTTCAAGTAGGGGTTGATTCTGTTGTTTTAAAGTGAAGACAAATTTTTGTAAAACTGAGGACCTCATTTCTGCTACAAGGCCATTTATAAAGAGAAAAAGCAAAGTTCTTTAAAGAACTCCCTTGATGCTTTTGTTGTTAAGTACCCTTCAGTCAGATTCAAGTCATAGCAACACTGTAGTGAGTTCCCTAAGAGCAGCTCCAGCACCAGGCCCATCATGTTCCAACAGTAGTCACGTTTCCATTATCTTAACCAAACAATATGGGCATAGTAGCCTACTCAAGTTAACATGTAAAATTAAGCATCACATTATATAGTTCCCATTATTTACTATATGACTGCTTTTTTTGTAAGATTTTCAAGGCTTTTTTCAACTTTCAATCATAGGTGAAATTTTTATCAACTAAGAAACATTTAGATGTTAGTTGTTGTAAACTGTTCTCAAGTCAATTCTGTGTCATAGAAGCCCTGTATACGATTTCTGAGACTATAAATCTTTGTAAGAACAGAAAGCCTCATCTTTCACCTGAGGAGCAACTGGTGGACTTGGACTTCCAACCTTGTGTTTCAACCAAAATAATTCCAGTATAATCATTAAATAGCTTATCAAGTAAACATTTTTCTTTTTCAAGAGGAGAAGAAAATGGAGTATTTAATGTTAAAACCTTGGTTGTATTATTATAAAAGCTTAAGAAAAGGTTTCCAGGGTAAAGAAACATTTTTTTTTTTTTTTGAATGGGAAGGAGGAACAAGTAATTCACTAGCTAGAGGATAGACACGTTAGCTTAGGTGACGGGCAAGGCAATCTACAAGAAGAGGGAGGGTGGCAGAAAAAAAACAAGAATATGGATGTAAATAGTGATACACACAACCCTGGAACAAATGTTATGGGCAGAAATACATGGATTGAGATAGACTGAATGGGTAAGGGAGGAAGAGTGAGACTTATATATCTTTATATATCCCACTAATAGATGAAAGGTTGAAAGAGAAAAACGAAACATTGTTTGATGGATGCCACAGGTGGGCGGGAAGGGAGAGTACTTAACTGGTTATAGGGTAGATATACGTTAACTTAGTTGATGGGGACGGCAATGTGAAGATACAGAGGAGGTATACAAGGGCTAAAGGGGATAGAGGTAAACAATAAAATATATACAATCTTGAAACAACAATACTGTGTGGGTAGGTACGTGAACAGAGACAAATGCAGATTGTTTATGGGAAGAAGAGTAGTATGTGTATGCATATATACATACATTAAGTACAACACTGTTTGTGATAATAATGTCCACATGCCTACGTGGAAGACCAGTTAATACTACTATTATTCAAATTTATTCCCAACCACTAAAGCCAATACGGCGCTTTGGTAGCGTAGTGGTTATGAATTGGACTACGACCCACAAGGTTAGCAGTTCGAAACTACCAGCTGTTCCACAGGAGAAAGATGAGGCTTTCTGCTCCCGTAAAGATTTATAGCCTTGGAAACCCTGTGAGGGATTGCTATGAGTCGGAACCAACTCCACAGCGCCTAACAACAACACTAAAGCCAGTGATGATGAAACTGAAGAATTATACCATTTTCAATCAAAAATTGAACAAACATGCAATCAAGTTGTATTGATAATTATTGGTGATTGGTGGAAACAAAGAGGAAGGATCGATCAGTTGTTGGAAAATAGGGCCTTAGTGATAAAAGTGATGCTGGAGATCACATGATAGAGTTTTGTAAGACCAGTAACGTCTTCATTGCAGATAGATTTTTTCAACAACATAAAAGATCATATAACAAAAAGGGAGGAGTAATCTTATGTTCTAGGAACAGAGTATCCTAGTGCCATTAATACAGAGCAGCATGAGTGGAACATGGGACCCTAATAAGACAAGCAGCGACACCAGAGATGGAAGCAGAGGTGACGGATGGCATGGAGAGATAGAACAGTTGAGGACTCTAGACTCATGGAAAGAGAAAGGCTGTGTGCTGGCACCCGAGATGCTGGCTTACAGAATATGCCTTTTGATTATTTAAAGAATTATATGTTCCTGCATGTTTTTGTGTACATCAAAAACAAAACAAAAGAGAGAATAGATGCAAATACTGTTAACCAATGCTGCATGGAAGGGATTATAATCATTGCAATGAAACAAAATATTATAGGTTGAGTATCACTCAATTCACAATAAAAACAAACTGGAATACACAGAATTCAAGATGGTAGAAAAGCTCTGTATCATCAGCCAAAGCAAGACCAGGGATAGACTGGAACAGACCATCAATTGCTCGTATGCAAGCTCAAGTTGAAGCTGAAGGAAATTAAAACAAGTCCATGAGAGCCAAAATAAGATCTTGAAAATATCCCACCTGAATTTAGAGATCATCTGAAGAACAGATTTGATACACTAGACATTGAACACCAGAAGAGTTAGTGGGATGACATTAAGAACATCATCTAGAAAGAAGGTAAAATGTCATTAAGAAGACAAGAAGGAAGGAACAACCAAAATGGATTTCAGAAGAGACTCTGAAACGTGTTCTCCAGCATAGAAATTTAAAAGGAAATGGAAGAAAGGAGGTACAAAAGCTGAACAGAAAAATTTTAAGACCAGCTAAAGAAGACATAATCAAATACAACAAAATGGTCAGACCTGGAGTTAGAAAACCAAAAGGAAGAACATGCTCAGCATTTCTAAACTGAGGGAATTGAAGCATCAACTTACAATATTGAAGGATTCTGTATGGGCAAGATACTGAATGATGAAGAAAGCATTAAAAGAAGATGGAATAGAGATACTAATGTTCAGCCGTTTCAAGAGGTAGCATATTGATCAAGAACCAAAGATAGTGAAAGAAGTCCAATGTGCATTGAAGACATTGGCAAAGAACAAGGCACCAGGAAATTGATGGAATACAAATTAAAATCTTTCAACAAACTGATGCAGCACTGGAGGCACACACTCATCTATGCAAAGAAATTTGGAAGACAACTACCTGGCCAACTGACTGGAAGAGACATACATTTGTTCCCATTCCAAAGAGAGGTGACCCAGCAGAATGTAGAAACCATGGGACAATATCGTTGATATCACATGCAAGTAAAATTTTGCTAAAAATAATTCAAAAACAGCTACAACACAGAATTTCTAGTGACTATAGCTAGATTCTGAAAGCTATGCCACTGGTATTTTAAATACCCACAGGGTTAACCATGGAGGACAGGTTTCAGAAGAGCTTCCAGACAAAGACAGACTAGGAAGAAGAGTGACGAACTACTTTTGAATATTTAGTGATTGAAAACCGTATGAATAGCAGAGAAACACTGTCAGATATAGTACTGGAAAATGAGCCCCTCAGGTTGGAAGGCACTCAAAATGTGACTGGGGAAGAACTGCCTCTTCAAAGTAGAGTTGACCGTGATGATGTGAATGGAAAGCCTGTGGTAGAAAAGCCCATGGGACCTTCATTTGCTGAT